TTAAAGCAATGGCTATAAAAACAGGAACTAATTTTTCTTTTTTAACTGTAAATAAACTTTATATCAATGTCCAATATAATTAGTTTGAAACTTCATTATAAAAAATAAACCATACAGATAAAGTTCCGCTTATAGTTCCTTCAAAAAGTTCTACAGTTTTCATGTGATACGTGGTTATATTTGAGGGAGAATGAAACGAACAGTTTTCTAATTACGCATATTTGCACGCCCACAGAGACCACAGGCTCTCATGCCCACGGGGGGCTTGAACTGCAACACTGGCCCGAGTCAGTACGTTGTTCCAGCATTACTCGCCTGTGACACCCGAGTCGATTGCACTTCCTATCGGGTCATTTTTTATTGTTCGGCCTCTTGCCTTCTAGACAATGAAAGTATGAACGCTTTGGATTCTTTAGAACAAAATACTGGTCCAATTTCTCTGTTAAACGCGTTCAATAAATTTTTTGTAAGGAATACAAATTTACAATTTAAATTTTAAAAAGTGAATTTTGAATTTTTAAAAAAATGGTTTCTTACATAAAAAGTCGCGTAGAGGAACTGGTTTAAGAAATTTTGAATAAATCGTTGAGTCTCATGATTAAATTGTGAGAAGTGTAGGTGCATCAATTCCTAAGTTGACAAATATTTCTAGGCCAAGAAGACATATATAAGCAGTGTATGAAATCAAATGTAGTTATTTTTGTTCAGTTCTCCTCTCCACCTCGCAAGTAATTCTGGCATCCGGATGTGTTCTATCGATTGTTTGAATCAGTAATATGCTTTCCAGTCCGATTCAATAAACTATTGGAATAGTTCTCCAATTGTAGCGGTATCTGCGCCGCCATTGATGGAGCGCAAGTATCTAACTCGGGCAGCTCTTTCAAAATCTCAAGAAAATAGATATTCATAAAGAATGTCATTAACACTTCATAAATCATAGACTTTTTAGTATACTCTCGAAAGAAAGGAATATAATAAGCCTTTATGAATAGTTTAATGCATCAATAATATATTTTATGTCAAACTCCCAAATTATTTGGCAGTCAACATGGATATATAAATAGAAATGCATGTAAGATATATAAGTAATCATGAAATATTTATAAAATGAATTGTTATTTTTACATAACTGCAATTATTTGTTATTTTTTAAGTGTTTAATGTATATTAAATAATATAATCGAGGTTTACTGATGAATTTTTCAGTATTAAATACTAGATTGTTTTACTAATGATTCTTCTCAGAAGCGTTGGAGTTTTTCTTGAAGTCTATTCACTAGCGCCACCATGGAGCAAACGTACCTTCCAAGAACTACATGGAAGTCACTCGGTGCAACCGTACCAATCAATTGAAAACGCGGGGAAAGTCGATAGCAACACAAAAGGGAACTCCCAAAGGCCAAAAGTATTTTCAAACGAGAAAGAACTCAGACGATTACGGTGAAAAATCACTCTAAAGTTCAGAAGAAATGCGTTATTAAGACGTCACACAAACATTGACACACTCACGCTGTTACGATGTAAATTCGTGTACGAGAGAAGCGCAAACTACAAAACTAATCGTTGGTTCAGCGATTTCAACGGACCCAGCAATTTGAAAGGGCGGGAAAGAACGGTTGACTCCTGGAATCACTCGCAGCCATCGCTACTCCCAAGACGAGAGGTTTCAACGCAGAAGAAAGCGCCGCCGGATATCGCGCCTTCGCTGCCGACGCGGACCACTTGCGACGAAGGGCGGGAAGCGCGCCCCAACGGCCAGGCTCCCA